TGCTGAGGTATCAGGGAGGCCGCTGAGGTACCAGGAGGTTGCTGAGGTACCGGGGCCGCTGAGGTGGGGACACCGGGGAGGGACCGTCCTGCCCTGGCCCGGCTCTGACCCTGCCCTGAGGGCTGTGGGGCCCGGAGTGATGGTGCCTGGGGGCAGAGGGAACCGGGCCCCGGCGTCTCTCCCTGCCTCGGTGTCCCTGCTTATGCCACCATCGAGCTCAGCGAAGGACAGCCCACAGGTCGGCCTTGGAGCTTCACGGAGCTCTCTGTGATGGGCAGCTCCGCTGGTGGCCTCTTGCAAGGTTTAAATTTAAACCTGGGTTAAATTTTCCCCCCCGGGTCTAGGTGAAAGGATGTGTGTGAATAGAATGCAAAGGTTCTGGCTTTCAACGCCGCTTTGTAGCACGACAGGTTTTGAGGGTGGTTGATCTTCTTTTGTCGCCAAAGCTAAAGGTGGGATTAAGCATTTTTGCTTAGTAGCATGGAAGAAATCAAGCTTTTGGTCAAGAATTTCGCTCATTTAAATCCAGTTGGATTTAAAAGCCTGCCCCAGGTTTTAGTGCCATTCTTACAGTTAATATAGATGTTTGAGTTGTGCATATAATATCTAGCTTGTTCTTGTTTCAAAGCCTGGCCGTAGGGATGGACTGGGCAGCAAGGTTCAAAGGCTCCGGAGAGCCTTGGTTTAAACTCACTACTTTAAGGTAGTGGAACTTAGATACAGCTATGGAGGCAATCACAGAATCACAGGATAATATGGGTTGGAAGGGGTTGGAAGGGACCTCTGGAGATCATCTCCTCCGACCCCCTGCCAGAGCAGGGTCACCCAGAGCAGGTCCCACAGGAACGTGTCCAGGCGGGTTTGAATGTCTCCAGAGAAGGAGACTCCACCACCTCCCTGGGCAGCCTCTTCCAGGGCTCTGCCACCCTCACAGGAAAGAAGTTCCTCCTCAGGTTTGGATGGAACTTCCCATGGTCAAGTTTGTGCCCTTTCCCTCTTGTCCTGTCCCTGGGCACCACTGAGAGAAGCCTGGCCCCATCCTCCTGACACCCACCCTTTCAGTATTTATAAGCATAGATGATATCCCTCTCAGTCTTCTCCAGACTAAACAGACCCAAGTCCCTCAGCCTTTCCTCATAAGAGAGATGCTCCAGGCCCCTCATCATCTTTGTAGCCCTTTGCTCTCTCCCCTCTCCAGCAGTTCCCTGTCCTTCTTGAACTGGGGAACCCAGAACTGGACAAACAAACAAATAAATAAAAGGGAGCTGAATTTAAAAGACCTGAGTTAATAGAGATGTCGAAACCAGCGAGTTAATGTAACACGTGTCTTTGGGCCAGCAGGGATTGTGGGGCAATTACACCATTCCTGCTGCTGGATGGAAGGGCTGGATTTAGCCCATGGCGTTGGGCCATGCTGGCTCTGAGGACCAGACACTGCTGCTCTTCACAAAACCTTTTCAACATCTAGGAGCCTGATAAAGTGGTGGACATGTTATTGTTAGCTCAGCCACAGAATTAAATATTCTTAGCTTAAAAATAGCCACAAAAATGATGAGAGGGCTGGAGCCCCTCTGCTGTGAGGACAGGCTGAGAGAGTTGGGGGGGTTCAGCCTGGAGAAGACAAGGCTCCAGGGAGACCTTAGAGTCCCTTCCAGTCCCTCAAGGGGCTCCAGGAAAGCTGGGGAGGGACTCTGGATGAGGGAGGGGAGCCATAGGACGAGGGGGAAGGGTTTGATCCTGAAAGAGGGGAGATGGAGCTGAGATGTGGGGAAGAACTTGTTTGGTGTGAGGGTGGTGAGAGCCTGGCCCAGGTTGGCCAGAGAAGCTGTGGCTGCCCCATCCCTGGAGGGGTTCAAGGGCAGGTTGGAGGGGGCTTGGAGCAACCTGGTGTGGTGGGAGGTGTCCCTGCCCAGGGCAGGGGGTGGCACTGGATGGGCTTTATGGTCCATTCCAACCCAAACCATTCTACGATTTGTCCATGTTTGTTTTATAGGTTTTTTTTTTTTATTTTTTAGGGTGAGCAGTTTGTGAGATCATCAAGTAGGGAAAGAGCTTGTCTTGCACGATTTGTTAAGAACAGGGAGTTAGTTTGAGGGAAAAGGAGCAGCTTTTCCCTGTCTGGAGTCCAAGGACAGGCCGAATAGATTTTCCCAGAGTGTGGGAAAGAGGAGTTAGGTCAATGCTGAGAGACTGTTTTAAGAGAGCAAAGAATTTACGAGCTCTGCGTGGTCTCCTCTTGGTCTCAGAGGATGGAGTCACTGAAGGATAAGCCACATGATGCAAGAGTTTGCAACTTGTGATCTCAGGAGGGTGCAGCAGAATTTCTCAGTGATGGTTCTGTGATCTAATGCTTGTGTTCTGTGACTTGAGACAAAAAGTGTTTATCTCCAACTTCAGGCAGCACAAATCTCTACAGAGGGGTCCTGGCTTTCCTCCACACTTCAGAGAGAGTTATGTTTGAAGCCAGTTTTCGTAGAAAAAAGCCCATGTGCTGCTTCTCATGGCTAGCAGATGTTTCAACTCAAGGATGGATTTATTTGTGCCGTCACCGTTTTGATAAAATCACGGTTCTGTGAAGCCACATATGTTCTTTCAAGTGATGGCAAAGAGCACGTCGCCCTGTTTTGGGCTGCAACTTTGATTTTACCAAAATGAACTTGTAAGTGGATGGAGCACTGCTCAAACATGGAACAGAGCTTTTATGGATGACTCTTATCAAACCAGCCTGTGGCATTTCTTGGCAGCATTTAGGATGCTTTCTCAGAAGATCAGTGAATATTTGCAGTATTCTTTCCTTTTTTTTTCTTTTCCCCTTGGCTCTTTAAGACTGCTGTGGTTTCTGTTGTGCACTAACCTAATGTTTTCCTTGCAGAAATGCCTCATCAGTGGGATATGGCTCATATCCAGGAGATACCCAGTTCCCGCCGTCCCCCCGGGTACAGTGTACAGACTGAGCAGGCCAGTTTTAGACATCCATCAGGTTGGTAAACAGCTGAATTTTTTTTGTTGTTTCGGGCCAAAAGTGGTTTCCCATTAGAGCGCTGATCTCCCAGATGTGGGCATGTTTCTGAGAAGCACCAGTTCTAGGTTGAAACCTTTTAAGATAATGAACTTGAGGAATTTTGTAGTAGTTGAATCGAAGTGAGAGAGTCACAGAATGATACGGGGTTGGAAGGGACCTCTGGAGATCATCTCCTCCAACCCCCTGCCACAGCAGGTCCACCCAGAGCAGGTCCCACAGGAACGTGTCCAGGTGGGTTTGAATGTCTCTAGAGATGGAGACTCCACCACCTCCCTGGGCAGCCTCTGCCAGGGCTCTGCCACCCTCACAGGAAAGAAGTTCCTCCTCATGTTTAGATGGAACTTCCCACGTTGAAGTTTGTGCCCTTTCCCTCTTGTCCTGTCCCTGGGCACCACTGAGAAAAGCCTGGCCCCATCCTCCTGACACCCATCCTTTAAGTATTTATAGGTGTTGATCAGATCCCCCCTCAGCCTTCTCTTCTCCAGACTAAAAAGCCCCAAGTCCCTCAGCCTTTCCTCATCAGAGAGATGTTCTAGTTCCCTCATCATCTTTGTGTCCCTCTGCTGTCCCCTCTCCTGCAGCTGCCTGTCCTTCTTGAACTGGGGAGCTCAGAACTGGTCCCAGTGCTCCAGCTGGGGCCTCCCCAGGGCAGAGCAGAGGGGCAGGATGACCTCTGTCGACCTGCTGCTCACACTCTTCCTGATGCCCCCCAGGATGCCATTGGTCTTCTTGGCCACAGGGGCCCATTGCTGGCTCATGGGCATCCTGTTGCCCACCGGGACTCCCAGGTCTTTTTCCTCAGAGCTGCTCTCCAGCAGGTCGGGTTCATCTATTGTTATTTAACCCTGAACTAACCTCTGGAGTTAAACTTCTGGAGAACCATCTTTAGTGCCTATATAGATGTACTTCACAGGGAGGTTCATCTACTATTGTTTAACCTTGAACTAACCTCTAGAGTTAAACTTCTGGAGAACCATCTTTTTTAGTGCCTATATAGATGTACTTCACAGGGCATGAGAAATGTGTTGTTGTAGAAATCTGGCTGGTTTGTGGGTAACCTGCTGCTTTTTCAAGATAGCTGTATTTTTTCCCCAATATTCAATGCAGTAGAAGTGACCCAGTATTTGCCTCATCAAAACCAGCAGGGAGATTCAGTTACTTTTGAAATTTAATGTCTCTTTGGATTCTACAACATGTAATGATTTTCTTTAGTCTAGATGCTACTCTTCCGGAGGAAGAAAGGGCTTTATATCTGGTTTTGTGGAGAACATCAAACAGGAATTAGCAAAAAACAAGGAGATGAAAGAAAGTATTAAAAAATTCCGAGATGAAGCTAAAAAGCTGGAAGAATCGGATGCGCTTCGAGAAGCGAGGAGGAAATATGTAAGTCTTCTTCTTGAATTCCTTTGATGTTTTCATCGCCCAGTCCCTGAGCTATTCCTGTGCTGAATGTAAATCTGAATCTTTCTGCAAATGAAGTGTTTGGTTCAGAATGCCAGTTTTTATGAGAAGTTCTGCTTGGCTGGAAATACTGGTAAATAGAGGCGTTAGAGTGGTTTGGGGTTTTTTAGTGGAAAATCTTTTCAGGAGACCCTTCACTGGATTTCCCAAATAACAAGCAGATTAAATAATGAGACATTAAATTTCATGTTGGCAGTAATTAAATACTTCTTTTGCATTCTTTGAAGAATTATAAACAGCATTGCTTGCAAAAATGAAATGCTGATGCTGGTTACTCAAGTTTGTGCTCCCTGAGATGTAGCTCTTCTTGCCCTCAGTTCCAGCGTTAATGGGGTGTGCTCTGTGCTGAACTGCTTCTGAGTATTTTCTATCCTCATAGTTAAATGCACCATGGTCTTTTTTTTTCCACAGAAAACCATTGAATCCGAAACAGTGAAGACCTCAGAAGTGATTAAAAAGAAACTTGAAGAAATAACTGGTACAGTTAAAGAGGTAAAATGCTGCTTTGGAAGAACCTTTCCCTAGGGCAGTTCTGCTCTAAGTTATGTGTTTTGTGTGCATTCCAATTATCACTCCTGCTTTTTTCTTGCTGAAAAGTGGTTGCTATTCCAAAAGTGATCACTATTATGAGTCTTTAAGGCCAGAGTCATTAAGAAAATTGCAGCAATAGTATATGATAGATTTATTCAGTTAGTGTATGGTCAGAGGACAGTGGTTCTGTCAGGTTTGGAGACTGGAAATGGTCCTTATGGTTCTGCATTTTCTAGCAGTAAAAAAAAAAAGCCTCAGGGTGATTCTTCCACCTGAGGGCAGTTAGAGTAATGCTGGAAGGTCAGCCTGGAAAGCTGTTTAGGAGATGTCATGCTCTTCACACTCATGCTTTGTTACTAACGTGGTGGGGTTCTTACTGCATGTTGAAGAAGATGTGCAACATCAGAGGCTCCAGGTGTTGTACCAAGTGCTGGTGGGAGAGTTGAGGTGCTCTCCTCCAAGTTCTTGTGCTGCAAGTGATCCCGTGGCTCTCTGGGAGTAACAAAATGCCTGGAGGAGCAGGTGGTGTTCACACCTAACAGGTTTGAGTGTCTTCCATTCTAGGCTCAGACTTTAAAGATCTCTGTGTCTGTGCAGACCTGCTTTTAAGAGATTGAATTCAAGTGATTTTTTTCAGGCTGGGACTAAGCACTGCACCTCGTGCTCGTTTATTTCATTTCTTTTCTGAGTTCATCCACGCAGCAGATTTTTTTTGTTTTCTCTGGAGTAAATTTCTGAGGAATCTACCTCGTAGTGTTTTAAATACAGAATAAATCAGGTGGATGTGGCACCTGTAGGGGCTGATCTGTGGTGTTACAGTTTTCGTGAGTTCAGCTGATGCAAAACTGGGCTATTTGGGCAGCCTTCAGTGGGGTGCAAGACCTTTTATACCTTACTCCCTCTTTTCTGTCCACATCTCAGCATGGGGAAGTCAAGGAGTCCCCATCCATTCAGTGTATCCCCCGAGATGCTTCCAGAGGAGCTGGGGAATGACTCCAGGACAGGGTAACCTGTGGGCACAGGCTGCACTGGCTGCTCAGAGGCTCCAGGGCTGACAGGAGGAAGAGAGAGCAGGTCCAGGAGAGGACAACTCTGGTCCTACTTACTCCTTTGTGGCCAAAGTGCCTGCTGGTCAACTGGCTTGGAGATCTACTGCTGGGTTTGTCCTCAGCCTTCCTTCTGCTGCAGCCCTGTCAGTCCCCAGGAGATGGCACTGAGCCTGAGGAGCTGGAGAAGGGCTCTTGCAGTATCTGCCACCCTGACAGTTATTCCCAGGCACCTGAGTCTTGTTTTTCCCTCCTGCTGATTTGAGTCATTAAATCTACAGTGATTGGAAACTTACTGCTCTGTCTTTTAAAGGGAGCAGAAGATTTTTCCATGGTAAGTTACAGCTGAGAAGCCCTTGGGGAGGCTGTTCCTTATCTGTCAGTTGAATTGTGCCAGTCATGAGCTGGATGTGGATATAACCAGGATCTTTTCAGTACTATCAAGCATCTTTATTTGCCAAATCTCATTGAAAACCAGGGAAAACCATTCTCCTGACATTTCTCTTCCTCTGCGGTTGTGGCCTGTGACCCATCCAGGATTGGTTGTCCAGCTCCAGTGAGATTTCTGAGATCCTTGAGGATCTGAGGGTGCTGGTGCAGAATGAAAGGGTGACCAGCTACTGGCTGAGTCCTTTTAGCCTCTTGCACGGGAGATCCTGGCTCTGTAAACACAGCCAGAGAGATGTACTTGAAGATTTTGGGTTGGGAAAAGCATTTCTAACTCCAGAGGAAGAGTTGCGTAGCAGAGAGCTCTCTCAACCACTTCTGTACCTTCTCTTAAGAAGCAAGAAGTACCTGATTGCTTCAAAGGAAAGGGCTGGGGTATTTTAACTCATGCTTCATTTGTCCTTCTCTTCAGGGCCAGTGGGCCTTCTCTTCACAAAGAGGGATTACTCAGAGTAAGTTTTCACCTGTTTTGCGTGAAATGACCTTTTCTTTCTTGTTTTGCAGAGTTTGGATGAAGTAAGTAAGAGCGACATTGGCCGGAAGATAAAGGAAGGGGTGGAAGAAGCAGCAAAAACAGCAAAGCAGTCTGCGGAGTCAGTGACAAAAGGAGGGGAGAAATTAGGCAAGACAGCAGCCTTCAAAGCTTTTTCTCAGGTACATAAGTCCTTTGCAGGACCCAGCACTGCGGGCACAGCTCATTAACGTGGAAGTTCTGTGCGAGTTTGTGCTGAGTCTAAAATTAAATGCAAAACTCTTTGCAGCAAGACCTTGTGAGCCACACTGGAATAAGCTGAGAAATTCAGGAGGTGCATTTGGCAAGTCTCACACTCACTCTGCAGCCCTAGAACAGTCTGAGTCTGGAGCAGCTGAGCTGCTGCTGAAATGTGTTACTGGAAAAATCACAGAATCCCAGAATGATCTGGGGTTGGAAGGGACCTCTGGAGATCATCTCCTCCAACCTCCTGCCAGAGCAGGATCACCCAGATCCCACAGGAACGTGTTCAGGGGGGTTTGAATGTCTCCAGAGAAGGAGACTCCACCACTTCTCTGGGCAGCCTCTTCCAGGGCTCTGCCACCCTCACAGGAAAGAAGTTCCTCCTCATGTTGAGATGGAACTTCTTCTGTACAAGTTTGTGCCCATTCCCTCTTGTCCTTCAATCAGTTGCTTTGCTTGTGGGGCAGGCACTGGTGGTACTCTTGGGAACAAACTGGCTCAATTAAAGCTCTCATTTTCTAGAAAATACCTAAGTGCTTATATGTCACCAGTCGATGGTAGTTAGCCTAAAATAAGTGTTCCCCTTGACTGTTTTTTTTTTTGCCTCCTCTGAAGCATTGGATTTAGCTTGTAAGAGGGGACACCAGGCCAGATGGAGTGTCAGTTGTGTCAGTCCCCCTCTTTCTGTGTTCATCTGCCAAAGGTCACTTCTAGCCATAGCTGCAGATCACATTATACACTATTTTTTTTTGTATCTGTGTGTCTGTAATGAAACCTGTTATCTCACCCCAGCAGCCTCCTAATCTGAGAACTGTTTGTTCCTTCCATGAAACCCGCTGCCAGGCCAGCCCTTATAAGCAGGGAGTGATTTTATGAGACCTTAAAGTAAATTTTTGGAGGCTTAAAGATTTGTTCTCCCTGTAAACAGATAAACCTTTTGATTCATTGTCAGATTTAAGTGATTCACTGAGCTTTTAGAGGCTGCGAGCAGTTCTTGTAGCTTTGCTCTACTTTATAGTATTTAGAATATTTAGTTTACTGCTTCAGAAAACCAAATATGCTATTTTTGAAATTGTAGTAATAGTCTCATTTTGACACCCCCTTTGCTTCAGTATTTAGGAGATATTTTATTTGTATAATGTAGAGCCACAAGATGGGCTTGTGTCTTGTCTCCCAGGTCCCTCAGATCGTTTTTTATAGTCAGTAGGGACAGATTGAGTTTTGGAGCTTTTTATTTGCTTATCCTTGGTGCATAAAGTCACTTAAACTCCAATTTCTGCTTCGTATCAGATCTCTGGCATCTCTTCCATCTAGGCCCTGAGCAATGGTGTAACTTTAAGGAAGGAGTCACCTTCAGCAGGGGAGGGGGGCTCCTGCTGTCAAAGGATGTTGGACACTTTGTGTGTTCTCCAGAATATTCCTGCATAAAATAAAGTTGAATAATAACAGGCCCCATAAAGCCAGGTGATGCTTTGGGCTCCATAACTGACATGTCCCCAATAAAAAGGCAGATTGGGAAATAGCTGTAAATAGAGTATATATAAAATCCCTTTCTGCCTGTGTGTGTCTAGTTGGAATAGGGAAGTATTTATTGTGCCACAGATCTTTTGTAGGTAACAGTCATTAGAGAAAGTCCCGCTCAAAAGTTCAGCAGGGAAAGTAGAGCAGCCAAGATGAAGGAGAAACACTAAAAATGCCACTTAGTCCCAATTCCTGTTGAAGTGTATGACAAAAATTGCCACCAAAAGTCGTGGTAGGATGCAGCTGCCTCTTGGCAGAATCTGAACTAAGGCTGTTGCTGTTCACTGACGAGATACAGATCGGTCCAGATTTATCAAGTCCTTTTTTTTGATGTAGCCTCACCCAAGAGGGGGAATGTCTCCTACTCTCCTTTAGTATAAGCTCAACTACTTTTTTTTTTTTAAACTTTTCTTCTCTGACAAAAACCAGTTTGCTTCGAAGCTATTTTCTTAGCTAGAAGGTATGTAGAATTCTATAAAAAGTGAGGTTCCTTTTTGTTTTGGGGAAAGCAGTACTGCTGTTTGTTTAACCTTGGGCCCAGAACTTGGATTTTATTGACTTTTGAGATGGCTTTGCAGCGAGTTGATGGTGTCCTGAAGTCTTTTTTGTCCCCTACTTTTGGATAATGGGAATCATTTTATCATTTACTTATCTATCAGCTTATTCTATCAGCAGCTGCTGAGTGCTCTTGGGGGCTGCCTTCATCTGGGTTGATTTATTCCAATTTAAACTCTGTAGAGGTTACCCCTTGTGAGCTGTAAGGTTTGACTGCGTCCATAGCTTCTACTGTATTGTTATTTTTGTGTCAAGTTGATTCAATACAACCATCCATTTACTGTCCTACACTGTTAAAATGTTAAGGAGAAGGTCTTGGTCCTGGTGTATCAATAAACATCAGCAAAGAAGGATTTGCTGAGTAAGGGAGAGGAGAATAACCCGTGAGCTTTTACCATTTTTTTTATCTTTTTTTTTTTTTTTCCTACAGCAGAAGCAATTTTCAGTTTCTGGGATGGGATGGGGGGTGGAATGATAAATCAACCTAATAGGGATATTTTCCTTTCAGGGAGTAGAAACAGTTAAGAAGGAAATTGATGAAAGTGTTTTAGGCCAGACCGGTCCTTACAAACGTCCGGAGCGACTACGAAAAAGAACAGAGTTCTCAGGCGAGAGGATTAAAGAGGAGCGAATATTTGAAGCTAATGAGTATGTATTGGATGTAATTTAGGGTGAATATTTCTGGGTATAATTTAATCATAGAATCATAGAATGGTTTGGGTTGGAAGGGACCTTAAAGATCATCGAGTTCCAACCCCCCTGCCCTGGGCAGGGACACCTCCCACTAGAGCAGGTTGCTCCAAGCCCCCTCCAGCCTGGCCTTGAACCCCTCCAGGGATGGGGCAGCCACAGCTTCTCTGGGCAACCTGTTCCAGTGTCTCACCACCCTCACTGTAAAGAATTTCTTTCTGGTATCTAATCTAAATCTCCCCTCTTCCAATTTAAAAACCATTCCCCCTTCTCCTGTCACTGCACTTCCTGACAAAGAGTCCCTCCCCAGCTCTCCTGGAGCCCCTTCAGATATTGAAAGGCTGCTCTAAGGTCTCCCCAGAGCCTTCTCTTCTCCAGGCTGAACAACCCCAGCTCTCCCAGCCTGTCCTCACAGGGGAGGTGCTCCATCCCTCTGATCATCTTCGTGGCCCTCTGGCCCCATTCCAACAGATCCATGTCCTTCCTGTGTTGAGGACTCCAAAGCTGGTTGAGGACTCCAAAACTGGAGTTGCCAGTTATTTGATAATAAACTTTAAAACTCAACTACAGGTCAGGGGTGGTTAAAATCCAGGTGGTGAAGTGAGGCAGGGGGGTGAGGCTTGACCTGGCAGAGCAGGTCTGGGAGCAAATTTCTAGCGTAAATTGATGATGCTGAATCTTCTGATAGTGAAGTTGGGCATTTGGAATTATAAAGTGGGTACACAATATTCTGATCTGAAATTCTGAGTTGGGTGTGTGGTGTTTTTTCTCAGTTCTAACATCCTGCTGTTGAATTATGTTCGAAGGGACTAAGTTGGAGCTCCTTTGCTTACCCTGCTCCACGCTCCACTAAGTCCTGTTTCATTTCTGTGATGTATCAGCCTCGGTGATGCTGCAGTGATATTCCTCAGGATCTCCTCCTTTTTATTCTCGTGTGGTTGTACATTACTTGTTCACAAGTGCCTCTCTCTCTCCTGCACTTTCCAGGGAGGCCATGGGTGTGGTGCTGCACAAAGACTCAAAATGGTACCAGCAGTGGAAAGATTTCAAGGACAACAATGTGGTCTTCAACAGTAAGTACTCCAAAGACAACGGTATTTTCTGCGTTCTCATTCTTGCTGTGTTGGATCTAATGCCATCTGTGCAACTAGTCTCAACATCATGTGGATCCCAGCCGTTTCTTTTCATAGAATCATTGAGGTTGGAAGAGACCCTTGGGATCATCGAGTCCAACCATCTGCCCTACTCTACAAAGTCCTCCCCTACACCATGTCCCTCAGCACTGCATCTAAACGGCCCTTAAACACAGCCAGGGATGGGGACTCCCCCCCCTCCCTGGGCAGCCTGTTCCAATGCCCGACCACTCTTTGGGTGAAAAATTCCTTCCTAATGTTCAATCTAAACCTCCCCTGTTGGAGCTTGAAGCCATTCCCTCTTGTTCTATTGTTAATTACCTGTGAGAAGAGACCAGCACCAACCTTTTGTGTTGTAGCTGGTGCTGTGAGGTGGTGCAGTTGACAACACTGCAGCTTTTCCAAGCTGCTCCATCTGTGTTCGGACCCTTCCCCCAGTCAGGCATTGATTTTGATCAGTCCCTGCTCCCAGTAGGTATCAAAACCTGCTTTCCCCATTCCTTAAAGAGAATTGAACTCTGTTATTCTTTTTTTTTTTCTATTTTTTCTTTCCCTAGTCAGATCCACCCTGGCAGGGGTTGCGCAAGGGGAGGTTCAGATTGGATATTAGGAAAAATTTTGACACTGAAAGGGTTATGAAGCCTTGGAATGGGCTGCCCAGGGAAGTGGTTGAGGCACCATCCCTGCAGGGATTCAAAAGAGTTGACATAGTGCTTAGAGACACGTTTTAGTGATAGATTTTATCAGAGTTAGGTTGATGGTTGGACGAGATGATCTTGAAGGTCCCTTCCAACCCAGATGATTCTATGGCACTGGGAGGAGGCCGGGGTGTGTCCACATGGCATGAGGGAGAAGGCAGGCAGATCTCTTCTTCCTGACCTTGAGCTTCTAACAAGGCAAAATCTTCCCTTCAGTGAGCTGGTTTCTGTTGTCATCTGCTGAGAACTCTGGAATGTGTGGGACTTCGCCTCCTTTCTGGTTTTTATTGCAAAATCTAAAAATACTGAATATCCGTACCGCAGTAGGCAATGACTTTTGATAGTTATAGTTATCCAGACACTTAATGTTTCTGAAAGGCATAAAGAAGCCTGAGACCAGAATCCTTCAACAAATCAAAATAATCGCTGCCGGTGCACTGCAGGGTAAATGACTTGTTAAGGGAAGGAAGACTGTGTAAAAGTGCAACATAAATAATTAACTTTGGATTGTGTTTCTTCCCAACTTCTTTTTAAAGCAGAGCCTCCTTGGGAGGTATCCAAGACCGGGTTTTTACGTCCCGTTTGTTGGCCTTTCTGAGGAGAGATGCTCGTAGCTCTTAAAACTCCCCACATGTTGCATCCTCCTCTCCTGTGCCATCTGTGCGTTTCTGTGCCATTCTCTACGTTTTATGCCTCTTCCCCTAGTGATTTTGCAATTTGGGCAGCACTGCAGATGTGGCTGCAGAGGCTTCGCGGCGCGCGCTCTCCCTTTACGCACCACCTGTCCCCAGAACACTCTGTGGTTTTTGGAAGGAGCACAAACCTCAGGGCACGATTCCAATTGTTAATTGACCTGGTGGGAAGAAGCTTCCCTGCAGGGCTCGTTATCCAGAACTACCTTCTGCACTTCTGGTCCATCTGATGGTGTCCAGAGACAGATAATAGGTTGATTGAGCCCTTAGTTTGTTGCAACGATGCCTGCTTGTTTAAATGGCTTTTTTTTTTTAAAATCTTGCTTCACCCCCTGCCCTTCTTTCTGCCTTTGAGATTTTGTTTGTAGTTCTCCTTCCCTATCAATGACTTGTGTAGTTTTGTGCCATGCTTGGCTTGCTTTCTTACCAAGGTTGAGAAGTATGTAGAGCTGCTTAAAAACCTCATCCTTATGGTGTCTTGCTATTTTATTAAAAATCGACAAGGTTTAATGTCTAGTCTTGGGTTTTCCTTCCCCAGTTCAACTTTCTAGTGTTGGTTTCCTGTCCCCCTACCCCCTGCAGCAGGCTGGATCGGGGGGTATGAGCAGATTGCTACTGGTGATTTTCTATTTGAAAATTGATTTTCTATTTGAAAATGTGATTTTCTATTTGAAAATCTGCATAGAAGGCCCAGTTCCTGGCTGCTGAAGTCAGAGAAACCATCGTTTTCCTGGTGACAGTTATTGATAGCTATGAACATTGCAGGAAAATGAGGAGAAAAGTAACTGTGGAAATTAAAACTTGTTCATCACCAAAGAGGTTTAGAAGAGAACGAGCAGGTTTGATCTTCAACCCGTTATTTGCGTGTCGTTTCCTAATTCAGGACTGTGGTGGAAGGACACTGCAGCTTATGTCTCTTCTCCTTTCAGGGTTCTTTGAAATGAAAATGAAGTATGATGAAAGTGATAATGCATTCATCCGAGCTTCCAGAGCTGTCACAGACAAAGTCACTGACTTAATAGGTAATGTTTCATCGTTTTGGGGAAAGTGCACCTCTAGCCTTTCAGCTCTGTTCCTGGTGACCCTTAGCGTTGTTCCTCGGGCGTTACTAACCTTTGGGCTGGCTTCTGCAGCTTTATAAAAATATGACAAGGCACGGATCATTATCCAGTCTCATGCAGTGCAGCAGCCTGCTACTGGATCAGCAGCGCGGGGCGATGACAAGTGCTTGGATGGGATAAATCTCAAGCCTAATGTAAACCCTGCAGCCTCCCCGGTGACTCTTCCTCCCCTCTGGTGTAAAACCAAAGGTTTTTCTCTTGTTTTCTGGTGCCACTTGTCGTGCCACCTGTCTCACTGAATTGTTTTCTTAGGTGGATTGTTCTCGAAGACAGAAATGTCTGAGGTTTTGACAGAGATACTCAAAGTGGATCCATCCTTCGACAAAGATCGGTTTTTAAAGCAGTGCGAGTATGATATAATCCCCAATGTCTTGGAGGTAAGGTGCAGCACAGTGTGATACATTCGTTTTATTTTTTCCTTTACTATAACATGGAAGATTTTTCTTTTAGTTTTCTGATGCTACAAGTAAAAGCTGGGACAGCGTTGGCTTCTCGAGCATCCACCTTTGCACGGAAGACAAGATAACCTTGGGAAAAGGGAGTTGGATCCCACATAACAATTTAGGTTAAAACCATATTTCATAATTTAGTAGGCTGGAAAAGTTGGTTTTTTTCTTGCCTCAAAAAGAGCTGACCATCTTCTCCCACGTGAAATGATAGAGGGATCAAACAGAAGTAGGGGAATGAACAGTACTGGGCAAATGGTGATATCAAATATTGATAAGGGAAGGAATTTGGGACGTATTAACTGCTGGATCCTAAATGATCTGTGACTGCTTGGGAAGAAGACCAGGTGGTGACAAATGGTTCAGTGAAAGTAGTTCTGGCACAGGTCAAGGAAGTATGTGGAACTTAATGTTTTTAAAGACTAAAATATCAAACCACTCAGAGGACAGCGCTGATGAAGGATGACTTGGCGTATAAATGGATGTAGTTCCTCTCACTGTAACAGTATGTCAGAAAAGACAGAGTCAAAGTAGGGGATTTGGAAAACGACAACAGAAATTGTTTTGAAAGATTTGTAGGGGACTGGAAAAAATGAGGCTTGGAGAGAAACAAATGCCAAGAGAGAGCAAAGGGTTATTTTTTCATCCTACAAAGCAGTGATCGCGTCTCAAACTGATAGTTCTAATACACGGGTAGAAATATTTATGGTTTTCCTGGTCGTGAGGTTATAGGATGAATAAAAAATCATCTGATGCTTAGAGATACAAACATCCAAACTGATGCCTGGTTAGGTTTTGTCACTGCTGTCTTTGTGGTGACTGATACTCGTGTGTCTGATGAGTGAGGGGAACTGTGATGGTGACAGTGAAATAAGACAGACCTGTCACTGTGAATCTGCTTCTCCTGACGGTGCCGTGTCACTAAAGCAAACTGCAAAAAATGGGCTCGGGACTCTTGGAGAATGAATTTTCCACAGGAGAGGTTTTTTTCATACTGTAGGCAGCCAGTTTACAGATGCCATCAGCTACGATTTAGAGGCATTATGCTGAAAAATGCCCTGCCACGTATAACTAACTTAATTTTGAAATCTGTCGAATTCCCAGCATCTGCCTTGGTATGAATTCCAGGTGTTTATTACACCGTGTTTTAAAGAGAAACCTTTTTTTTTTGTGAGCTGCAGTGTGATTTTTCTGGTCACTGAATTTTTTGCAGTCTTGAAAATTTTAGATCTTTGTTCACCTGCTTCTGTTACACCCCATCTTCCAGTGTTCATCCCAGAATTCTGCTGACATTTTGGCCAAGGAGGTTTAAAATAGCTTTTATCTCAATTATCTGACTCGGTACGTGTGTGTTTATAGAAGTTCTTATTGCTGTTCCTCTCTGAAACTCCTATCCTTCTCCAGAGTTTCATAAGATGTAGGATTTAAGGCAGTTTGCTGCTGAAAGTGCTGATAATTTCAACTCTTTGATATAGGAGACGTTTTAAAATGTATTTTATTTGCTTTTCTCTTTTTAGGCGATGATGTCTGGAGAGCTTGATATCCTCAAAGATTGGTGCTACGAAGCGGTGAGTAAAGCTACTAAAAATGTCTGAAAAGGTTATGATTCTCACTTGGAAGTAGGTGTATTGTGCCTTCTGTGCTTGCAAGCTGTCCTGCTGTGTCATATCTAGGGTGTTGCTTACCTGCCCTGCCCAGCTGCTTCCCCATGTAACATGTTCATACAATAAAACACTAAGTTTTGTTCTGACTCCAGTTCTGTGCTGCCCTTCTTGATCTGGATGGGCTTTAGCAGAGCTTGTATCCCAGCAACACGGGGTGAGAAGGTGCAGAGATTTGAGCTGACCCAAAAAGGTGATGCTTTTCTGCTGGAAGGGTCAAATTCTCCTCGGAGCTACTACAGACACACAGCTCTCCTCCACTGCAACGTCCCAGCAAACAGTCCTGGCAGGCTGATGTCGTTCAGAAATTGCAGCATAGATCATCTGCAGCCTGGGTAATCTCACTGCAGAGATGAACTGAAAACTGCATTTTTCTTTGTTGGGATGGATTTTCAGTTGGGTAGATTTCATTGCATCCACTTCTTGAAGTAGTGAATCGGTTGCAATTCAGTGATTCTCTTATTGTCCACTTAACTTCATGAAAACAGATCCTTTCCTGACAGCACAGAGGGACGTTTGTTCTGGTCTTCGCCCTGCTCCAAAATAATCGTGTTGGAGGCAATGCAGAACCATACTTTTCCTGTTTCTAAATAATTTAACTGCTTAAAATTAACATTCTCCTTACTGGTCACCACCACCAGAGGGCTGGAAATGCACATGCTGGAAGAGGCAGTTTTTTTAATTTAATTTTTGTTGTTGTTGTCAGTCGTGGATGAACATCTTTGTAACAATATTGCAGTATGTAAGAGTAAGGTTACTTTATGTTTAATGCACTCTGAAAGTAAAGAGAGTTCTTTAGTGGTTCAAGCAACCTTTGAAATGACACCACAGGATTCTTCTCCAGTTTCTAGAGGCAAGTAGCAGATTCACTGCAGTTTATAAGACAAAAAGCAAACCCTTCTAAGCTTGTTGTAGTTATAAATTAAGCTCACAAGTCGAGAATCATCCATAAAATAAGCCAAGGGAGGAAATGAGAATCCTATTAATGTGAATGCAGGAGATAAAGGCTCTTGAGTCCTGTCACAGGTGTTAAGTGTGTGATATTGATCACTAAAGTGTTGGAATACAAACCAGGAAAGCAAAACCTTATTTAAGTGGCAGGTAGATGGAGCCAGCTGCAGGGTGTAGTTTGTGGTTCCTGGAGCTGTCTCTGCCTCCTGTCCTCTGTAACTCCACCTTCACTCCAGTGACTTTGTTCCAGTAGCTTCTGTGGGTTATTTACATTTAAAAGCTGGTGATGAAGGTTAGAAGAGCTCCATGGTGGGGAGGAAGGCAGGGACTGCCTCTTGTTTGTTTGAGACCTGCCAAGAATACGGTGATAACGCTGGAAGGCAGGAGAAATTCACTATTCCCAACAACACTTCTCGATGCATAAATAATGAAGCATATGTGCACATGCCTAAAATGAGCCAGGAAATCCTGGTCTCCCTCCAGGACCTGTCTGGGCGTTAGGAAAATAGCTTGGTTCCCAGACTCTCTCTCCTTGTCTGCTGTCAAATCAGGATCGTAAGCGCTTTGGCTCTCAGGTGCCCTCAGTTATGTATGTACTCTGTTGTGAATGATGGATCTCCTGTTCTGGCCACGGGAGGTGGGATTTTTAGGGAGAATTTGGTTATGTGAAGCCCGGAGCATTTGATGTAGCTGTTTGATACTTTGCCAGACATAAGTGTTCAGCATATTTGCAAAAAACTTGACTTTTACCTTTTTTTTTTTTTTGGTGGTTCTCTCTAAGCAGAAAATCCCTTTTTCTTTGTGACAGAGCAAATGCAAACGTGTAACACAAGTTTGTTGCTTCATTTAGACTTACAGTCAGCTTGCCCATCCAATCCAGCAAGCCAAAGCCATGGGGCTCCAGTTCCACTCCAGGATTCTTGACATTGACAACATCGACGTGAGTGTCCTTTTCTGTGTTTCACCTTGGGGGGTGGGGGTCGGTCTCTTTTCTCAAGTCACAGGCAACAGGACAAGAGGAAATGGCCTCAAGTTGCACCAGGGGAGGTTCAGGCTGGATATTAGGAAAAATTTTGTCACTGAAAGGGTTCTCAGCCATTGGAATGGGCTGCCCAGGGAGGGGGTTGAGGCCCCATCCCTGGAGGTGTTCAAAAGCCGGGTTGATGTAGTGCTGGGAGGTCTGGTTTAGTGATGATGCTCCTTGTTTGTTGTGTGGGTGTCTATTTTTGTCAGTGAGGTTGACGGTTGGACAAGATGATCTTTAAGGTCCCTTCCAACCTAGAAGATTCTGTGATTCTGTAATTACAACCTCGTGACCTGAGGAGGGGGTTTCTTTGCTCTAACTGTTGGATTTTTTGCCTCGGGCCACTCTTTTTTGCCATTTCTGCTCACGGAGGGACACATCTGGGTCCTTCCAGATGCTGCTGGAAGGGAGAGGTTGGACTAGATGATCTTCCAACCCCTACAGTTCTGTGATTCTCATGGGACTGACTTGCTGCTGTGTGATCAAACCTAAGTTACAGCCTTGTGGGTTGTCTCCTCTCTGTCAGGGCACCTTGGGCTTAAAGGCAGCATCTGAGAAAGGCAAATAGCAGTGACCCCCTCTCTGTCAGGGCACCTTGGGCTTAATCACCAGCATCTGAGAAAGGCAAATAGCAGTGACCTGGTGCTTCCATGAAGGGTGTTGCAGGTGATTACTCTGGATGATAATGAGCAGTACATCTGTGACTCCAGGTTGTGCAGGAATGGCTACAAGAGAGAATTAACTGCTCTTCTGGGTGGCTCTTGATGAGTGGGGAGGAAATTGCCCCTGTGAGTGGGGCCGTTTCCTCCTTAGGAGCAGTTGGAGACTGTGGCCAAATGTCTGCACAGTCCCCACACTCTCTGTGTTCCCCTTTATTGAGGAGCCTGAGATGTTGTTGTTCTACTTAGTAGTAAGTCTACAGTAGTACTTCTATTTAATTAGTGTAATCTATCACTGGACCCTAAGTTTTCTTTCAGATTTTTCTTTCCTACAATGGAAAGAGCATCTCAAAGAAATGACCAACTTTAGTCAGATCTTTCATACCCCATAACCACCTCTGCCTCAAAGGGGATGTCCGAGGGGTGGAGGGGAACAGGGAGCTGTACATCAGCACTTGGAAACACGTGTGGAAATAGGCTGAACTCAGATCTAGTGTTTGCCTCTGTCATCAAAGGCGCTGACTCAAAGGCAGCAACGTTCAGTGCCTGTTTCTGTTGGAACCAAGTATTCTGGTCCGATATACTCCAACTGTGCAGTATTATCCTCAATAAAATTATAAGGTGGGTCCATTCAGACATTACCATAAAGCCAAGTGCAGGGTCATTCCTGCAGGAACAGAGAACACAGAGCTATTTTACAGGGGTGGTGAGTGGGTCCAAGGTAAGGAAGTGGAGGATTGGAAGCTTTCAGGTAGAAATGGAAATGGAGTCTGCTGATAAAAGGATGCTGTCCAGAAAGTGAGAGCTGTTCCAGATGTTGTGGGGTGTATTGGCTGCCCAGATGTTGCTTGCTTGCACTCACACCCCGACAAGACAAGAATTCGGGAAGAATTCAGCAACCATCATGGAAAAAGGAGCTAATGAAGTCTGATGCTGCTGGTGGGTTGCTGAAAGGCAAACTACTGAGAGTGGTTTTTCTGTGTGTGCTGCCCTTTACAGGAGTCTCTCCTTTTGTGCCCACATCATTAAAAACCTGGAGTGGGTGCAGGAGAGCTCCAGAAACACGTTAGGAAACGCCCTGCAGCGAGAGACTTAGTGTGACCTGTGGAGCCCAACAAAAGAGCAGCAGGAACGGACTTGATTAATGACCACGGATCTTCTCAGGGAGCAAGGAGTTCATCTCCAGGGCATCTCCTAACACGAAAAGCTAATGTCTGCTCCTCTTCCCACCGATCTTTTGCCTTTTGGTTGTGATAAAATTCTCATTTTCTCTCATCCCCCTGGGTCCAGAGGAAGCCCTTCCTGCCTCTTCGGTGACTCTGGGTATTAACCACGAGCACGTGCGAAACGAGCAGGAAAATTTCTGTGGCCTCTGCAATTTTCTTGATTATATTCAGCGATAAATAATGCAGTCTAACAAAATTAAAGCTAAGGAAGTAATAAACACGATGGCTTTTTTCCTGAGCATCTTACTTAAATCAAAGGTTTTTCTGTATTGTCTGGGAGACTCGATTCCATTGTATGCTAAATAACTTTTAAACTTTTATCTTCTGTTGATACGAATTAGTATAGAGCTGTGCATAGATTCTGAGTAGTGACTGCGAAGACATTTCTTTATTAACAGCTTCATACAGAAGGTGCTGGAGCCCCTCTGCTGGGAGGGGGGGCTGAGAGAGTTGGGGGGGTTCAGCCTGGAGAAGAGAAGGCTCCAGGGAGACCTTAGAGCCCCTTCCAGTCCCTCAAGGGGCTCCAGGAAAGCTGGGGGGGACTCTGGATCAGGGAGGGGAGCCCTAGGAGGAGGGGGAAGGGTTGGACCCTGCAAGAGGGGAGATGGAGCTGAGCTGTGGGGAAGAACTTGTTTGGTGGGAGGGTGGGGAGAGCCTGGCCCAGGTTGGCCAGAGAAGCTGTGGCTGCCCCATCCCTGGAGGGGTTCAAGGGCAGGTTGGAGGGGGCTTGGAGCAACCTGGTGTGGTGGGAGGTGTCCCTGCCCAGGGCAGGGGGTGGCACTGGATGGGTTTTAAGGTCCTTTCAAACCCAAACCACTCTATACTTCTTTTAGATGCTTGTATTTTTGCATGAAATTCCTCAAGGAAATTACAGCTTAGCTGGAATCTGATTGATACGGAACAGAAATGAGTGCAGTTGTTGTTGCACTGTCTGTATTGTGAGAAAGGGGGATAAAGGGTGTTGTGTGTTTAAATTTTTAGATGCGTTTCCCTGGGGGAGATTTATGGGAGTGCGTTGAGTGATCTCATCCAGAAAAACAGTTTAGTGAGCTTAGAAAAAAAACAACCAAAACATTTAGAAGATTTAAGGGAATTCACATGCTGCAAAGTTGGCAGCATTAACATTAAAATTGGGTCTTTCAAACATAAGCACCTGAACTCCTGTTCCAGGTACTTGCTAAAAGCTCTCTGATCCATGAGATGGCTACGGCCTTTAAATTTAATGGGATTTTGCATCCTTGATATTTCTCCGGACTATTTATTTGACTGCCTAAATGTAGTTTTTAAGTATGTGTCTTGTGAAACAGAGTTTCTGAACTTAGTATTTATATCACTCCTCCTACACTGTCTTGATTATAGAGGATTTTTTTTTTTTGGCATCATAGTACTAAAAAAAAAATAAAGTAATACCAGTATGGAAGTGTTGGTGCCTGTAAGGGATACAGTGATACGGTCCTCCCCCTCCTTGGAACCCATGTGCACATTTATGTTGTCAAATTATCAATGCCAATTGGTGTCATATTCAATGTCTTGTCATGGAAGTTGATCTGATGAAGAGTTTTTGATTCTTGGGTTTGAGGCTGACCCAGAATCATGGAATTGTCAGAGTTGGAGATCTAGAGATCATCCAGTCCCACTCCCCTGCCAAAGCAGGGCTGCCCAGAGCACATCACTCAGGAGCATCCAGACGGGGCTTGAAGATCTCCAGAGAAGGGGACTCCACACCCTCCCTGGGCAGCCTCTGCCAGGGCTCTGCCACCCTCACCCCAAACAAGTTCTTCCTCAGATTGGAGTGGAACTTCCCATGGTCCAGCTTGTGCCCGTTGCCCCTCGTCCTGTCACTGGGAACCACTGAAAAGAGTCCGGCTCCATCCTCCCTCAGATCACCCTTTAGATACTTGTCAGCATTAATAAGGTCTCCCCTCAGCCTTCTCTTCTCCAGGCTCAAGAGCCCCAGCTCCCTCAGCCTTTCCTTATCAGGGAGATGCTCCAACCCCTCCATCATCTCTGTTGCCCTACGCTGGACTCTCTCCAGCAGTTCCCTGTCTCTCTTGAACTGGGGAGCCCAGAACTGGACACAGGATTCCAGTTGTGGCCTCCCCAGTGCAGAGCAGAGGGGGAGGATGACCTCTCTCCACCCACTGGCCACACTCTTCCCTACACAGCCCAGGATCCCATGGTCCCTCTTGGTGACAAGGGCACATTGGTGGCTCCTGGAGAGTTTCCTATCCACCAGGACCCCCAGATCCTTCTCCTCAGCAGTGCTTTCCGTCAGGTCCACCCCTAACCTCTATTAGTGTCTGGCATTCTTCTTCCCCAGGTGCAGGACCCTACACTTGCCCTTGTTGAACCTCATTAGGTTCTTCTCTGAGCCAGTCAGGCCAGTTCCAGATGCCCAGTGTGGGCTGGGACGGTGAGAGTTACTGCAGAGCCGGGGAACCCATTCCCCCGCGGTGAGTGAAGGGCATTGCAGTAGTGCTGAGTGTTCCTCTGGGGAGAGTAAAAGAGAAATATATATATATATATATGCCTTCGTGAATTATGGCACAGTCTTGTAGCTGTCTCTTGTGATGCTTTCTTTATTACGGGATAAAATGCAATGTTTTTTGAAACTATCTCTCATACACAAAAGAGTATTATCACGCTCCCTTAAATCTGAGGTAGGATGATTACCTTTTTTGGGTGATGTAGCCAGTAACTGCTGAGTACTTGAGCAAGAGGTTATTCTGTAGCATCCTGTCTTACCACAGCAGAGGCAGAAAGGCGGTTGTATTTTTTTTTAAGAGTGCAGTTATTGGAAACAAAACTTAATTTTCCATTCCTCCCTGCATTTCAGTTAGTAAATTCTTCAAATATTTAATGGAGTGATCTTAGAAGAGAAAATAATCCTGTCCTTCTCACCTTGAGATCTTTCTGCTTCTTAGTTCTTTCTATCTATCTAGTTCGGTACAACTCTATGTCGAAGATTCATTTAAAAGCAAGTGAAAAAAAGCTTCAGCTGATGCACTTCCTTCAGAAAATGCCATTTTTGTTTTTAAGAGCAAGGTTTCTTTTATTTTTGGTTTCTGATTTGGAAATAATGGAACGGATTTTTAGACTTGGAAAAACGATGAAAACTTCCAGAACAATTTTGGGAAAAGCTTTAAGGGGGAAAAGTTTACAGGGGAAAGTTTGTGGGGGGAAATACTTTGCAATAAGGTCTATGGCATCTGTATTAACAAAGCAGGTATAATCTGATTAAAATAACTAGATTTGGGGAGAAGAAGGGATTGTTATCCGTGTCGAGCCATAGCAGTTGTATTAAATACTTGATGCTTTTACATTAATCTGCAGAAATTGCCTGTTTTCTGATGGCATTTTCTTTCCTTGCAGCTGGCCATGGGGAAGATGATGGAGCAGGGACCAGTATTAATCATCACTTTCCAGGCTCAGGTGGTGATGGTCATTAAGAACCAGAAAGGGGAGCTGGTGGAAGGTGACCCGGTGAGTGATGCTCGTGGGCTGTGTGTGGTTTCCTGGGTGTCCCTTGGTCCCCTCAGTCACTGTGGGTTCCTCTGGGTGCAGCCAGAGCCCTGGGTGTCACACCTACCCCAGTGACCAGCATGAACCTTATTCCATCCTGTGGGTAAGCTCAGCGTGGGCTCTTTATTCTTGTCAGGCTCTTGAAGTGTTACAACCCATTAATTGAGAAATATCGTGCGTGAGGAGAGAGCAAACTCCTAGAAAGGAGAGAAAAGGGAGTATTTTAAATTCACAGTGAGGAGAGGAGCTGGAGCTGTGACCACCAGCAGTGCTTTCCCTCCCAGTTGCTGCCCTGCCTGGCCAGCACGTTCCCTGCATGTGTTATAGCCCGAGTTCTGCTCCTTGGGCACCCTCTGGGACAGAATTAAACTATCCTGTTGTAGATTAAAGCTCCGTCACGCAGCTTCCACCTCCTCCTGTTCTTTTTTTTCCCCTTTTTCCTTTTATAAAGGGCACTGTAAGAACTAGAGCTGGAGTTAAATCATTTGCAGGGGATGAGGAAAATCACTGAGTTAATGTTTTTGGCTACTGCCTCGCTACACAAAATATCTTCCAGTGCCATAAGCTTTCCACGAAGCTCTCCCGTCTCCTGTGGTATTAAATGCTGTGTGTGGCTGAGCTTCTAATGGGAATCTCTGCTTTGTGAAGTGGCTGGTACTTTGTTGTGGTTTAGTTTTAACACGACAGGTCCAGCTGCCTCTTCTCTTGAGAGTGATGCTAAACAGGGCCCATCACACACAACATCCTCGTTACCAGAGTTAACGACACAGCAGGTTGGAGGAGCCCCTGTATTTTCTGGAATAGCTTTGTTCTGGAGCATCTCGCCGTCCAGACAGCTCTGGCTCATATTGTGTCCATGCAATTTTTAAGTAGCTTAATGATACATAATGGGGGACATTGTGAGATGCTTGGAGCTGGCAGTTTCTAGCAGACTGCCATTAAAATTAATACATTTTTACATTTAATAAATATTGGCTCTTCGCGACTGTTCTCTAGTCCAGGCTGTAAGTTTACAAAAAAAAAAAAAAAAAAAAAAAAAAAAGAAAAGGGACTAATTTTAATGATGGGGCCCATCTGGACTGATTTATAACCTGTCACATCGACTGCAGGGGGGGAACAGCTGATATAGTGATTTCTTGCATTAAATTACTGCATTCCTAGAAGATAGATATTGATGTGATAATTATTGAACAGGATATCAAAGTCCGTTTGCTGTCTGATTGCTCTGGAGCAGCAATAAATCAAGGAGATGCATTAAAATTCTCCACTGGAAACAAAACTTCAGCATTAATCAAATGTCGGCTGCGGGCTGGGGCTGGTAACTATGATTTGGGGTTAACTGCTGAGCTGCTCCTGCAGAGCACTGAACAGATGACCTTCTAGGGAAAAGGAGCCTCAAATTGTAAACCCTTTAAATAGAAATATGCTTGTAACTGGGGCAGTATTTTACCCAGTTGCAGTTGTTAAAAGTCCCCGCTGCTGCGCTGGGAGCTCAACCTCAGTGAGATGTGGGGTGAGGCAGCCTGTGATGGGGTTGGAAAAGTTGTAGTTAATGTTGGGCATCCCTCTGGAGTGCTCTGAAATCAGTCTTGGAAGATGAGGCTTTAGACAATCCAACACTGAAGACAGAATCACAGAATGTTATGGGGTTGGAAGGGACCCCTGGAGATCATCTCCAACCCCCTGCCAGAGCAGGGTCACCCAGAGCAGGTCCCACAGGAACGTGTCCAGGTGGGTTTGAATGTCTCCAGAGAAGGAGACTCCACCATCTCCCTGGGCAGCCTCTTCCAGGGCTCTGCCACCCTCACAGGAAAGAAGTTCCTCCTCAGGTTGAGATGGAACTTCCCATGGTCAAGTTTGTACCCATTCCCTCTTGTCCTGTCCCTGGGCACCACTGAGAAAAGCCTGGCCCCATCCTCCTGACACCCACCCTTTCAGTATTTATAGGTGTTGATCAGATCCCCCCTCAGCCTTCTCTTCTCCAGACTAAAAAGCCCCAAGTCCCTCAGCCTTTCCTCATCAGAGAGATGCTCCAGGCCCCTCATCATCTTTGTGTCCCTCTGCTGTCCCCTCTCCAGCAGTTCCCTGTCCTTCTTGAACTGGGGAGCCCAGAACTGGTCCCAGTGCTCCCAGTGTGGCCCAGGGAAATGTAATTGTGTGCTGAAGAGCCTCTCCTGCCCTGGCAGTTGTTGCGTAGTCCCAGCCCTGGCTGCAATTAGAGCTTGTCGGGGTGTTTGAATCCACCGTCGCATCCTAAAAAGCCCCAAGTCCCTCAGCCTCTCCTCATCAGAGAGTTGTTCTAGGCCCCTCATTATCTTAAGGGGGAAGTCAAGGGGGCTCTTTTTCAGATTCTATCCTGAAGGACAGTGAGACGGGACCCTGTTTGTCACAGCAGACTCTGGGTTTGGACAGGTTTAGACAGATTTTCTCCTTGTGTGGCAGAAATCTGCGTTGGGGAGTCCACACGGCTGCTGTCCCCCTGTCTGTGAATATATGCGCAGCACGCGCTCTACGCTGGGGATTAAGGTGTACCCTATTAATAATAAAAGCACCAGATCAGAGCCCCAGAAATCTCAGCGCTTTGGAAACACGTAATTTTTATGTTTGGTCACGTCTCGTTTCCAGGAAGCAAAGCCCTGCTGCTGGGGCCGTACCGCTGGCTGCGGGGTGGCCAGCAGCTCTAAGCTCATCTGCTATTCATCCCTTCAGAAATCCCATCTTCAGCAACATCAACTTTTCCACACGTGGTAGAGCTTTGATGCTGAAGCGTGTTGTGATTAAATTGCCTTTCATACACCATCTCATGAAATGAACTTTGAAAATCACACCAATCATACCAATTAAGGTTCCGCTGGCAGCGGTGAATCAATTGTGTTACCCCCTTCAGCGTGAGCTTATACTTAGTGTTTTATACTCTGGAAAGACCCCTTTTTAGAGCTCAATGCACAGCCTGTCTGCAGCAGGCAATAGTCTGGGTGTCACTCTTTTCTTGTCCCCTCTGCTTTTCCTTCTGTGATATCCCCAACCCCTGCCTGACTCTGGGTTTCACTCCCCTCCGGGCAGAGCTGAAGCGAGTTCTCCTGAAACACTGAGTAAAAAAAAAAAAAGATAGATGACTTTACAATACGTGATATTTCTGAAACGTTAGTTTTCTAATGACTGGCCTGGTACAGAAAGTCTCCCCCCTCCCATTCCTGTATCTAAATTATAACCTATAAAGATTCACACATTCAGTCAAAACCGTAGCAGTTAAGTACCCATCTGGGAGCCGAGCCAACGCGCAGCCCGATCCCTCAGTGATACTTCCTTATCTGAGCAAAATACTCTCCCTGGTTAATGGTTAAATGATAAAAATCAGAATAACCTTTGATTTGCAGAAGGGCTCTGTGAGGCTGTGCCAGATTTTGGCTCCTGGCAGCCCCATCTCCCATGGGCAATGTCCCCTCTCTCCGGGGAGAGGCAGAGAGCGGGGCAGGGACTCTCTGGGGAGTTGTTTTTGTGAGACTGTGAGCAATGGCCTCGGGATGTGCTGAGATGTGGTTTTCAGCCTCATTCACTTACTCTGAGCAAAACTGCTGGTGTTCTCATTACATGCTTTGAGGATGGAAAAGATGGAAAAGCTTGTAGGTGGGGTTTTTTTTTCCACTCTGTGACCCTGTGTGGTGAAAGCTGTGTTTGTGCAGCAAAGCTCTGATGGCAGAATTAGCGCGTGTCTGCGGCTGGACTTGGTATGATCTGATTTTCAGTGCTAAATGCCAGGGTTTTTTTTGCTCTCTGTCGGACCTGGTGATGAGAATGTCTGGATAATTTGAGCTGCTGAGATTGAGGTGTGAGAGTTAGTGATACAGCTGTGGGGAGGGGACACTGCTCAGGGTGATGGGGGAGAGGCAGAGTCATAGCCACAGGAAAGAGCCTGAACTTGATTGAAGGTTACGGAGAGCAGTGCGGCCTGGCAGCTGAACCAATCTGAAACCAGAAATTCCTATTTAAAAATAAGGTCAAATCTTATCAAATGATGCTTGTTTGGAGACCTTGGGGCTTAGAACCAGAGAACAAAATGACGAGGATGATCTCTGGAGGAAGGGTGGAGTGTGTCCTTGTCAACACTAGGAGGTCTGTGACCATCATGCATGGTCCCTATCAGCTCTAGGAGGTCTGTGGCCATCACTAGGAGGTCTGTGGCCATCATGCACGGTCCCCATAAGCTCTAGGAGGTCTGTGGCCATCACTAGGAGGTCTGTGACCATCATGCATGGTCCCTATCAGCTCTAGGAGGTCTGTGGCCATCACGCATGGTCCCCGTCAGCGCTAGGAGGTCTGTGGCCATCACGTGTGGTCCCTGTCAGTACTAGGAGGTCTGTGGCCATCACGCATGGTCCCCATCAGCTCTAGGAGGTCTGTGGCCATCACGCGTGGTCCCCGTCAGCTCTAGGAGGTCTGTGGCCATCACGCATGGTCCCCCTCAGCACTAGGAGGTCTGTGACCATCACGCATGGTCCCCATCAGCTCTAGGAGGTCTGTGACCATCACGCATGGTCCCCATCAGCTCTAGGAGGTCTGTGGCCATCATGCATGGTCCCCATCAGCTCTAGGAGGTCTGTGACCATCACGCATGGTCCCCGTCAGCGCTAGAAGGTCTGTGGCCATCATGCATGGTCGCCATCACGCATGGTCCCCATCAGTGCTAGGAGGCCTGTGGCCATCATGCATGGGCCCCATCAGCTCTAGGAGGTCTGTGCCCATCACGCATGGGCCCCGTCAGCGCTAGAAGGGCTGTGGCCATCACGCGCGGTCCCCGTCAGCTCTAGGAGGTCTGTGCCCATCACGCATGGGCCCCGTCAGCGCTAGAAGGGCTGTGGCCATCACGCGCGGTCCCCGTCAGCTCTAGGAGGTCTGTGACCATCACGCATGGTCCCCATCAGCTCTAGGAGGTCTGTGACCATCGTGCAGGCTCTAACACCAGGATTTTCCTTGCAGGACAAGGTTCTGCGGATGCTGTACGTGTGGGCACTCTGCAGAGACCAGGACGAGCTCAACCCCTACGCTGCCTGGAGGCTGTTGGACATTTCCTCATCGAGCACGGAGCAGGTTCTCTGAGCAGGACCCCATCCCAGGGGCTTCCCCGACCTCTCCTGAAGCGATGCCATCTCTGAACTGGCACCCATCTGCCGTGTGATGGACCGTGTGGGGGAGAGAGAGAGGCCAGATGGGTTCCTTTCCAAGAAGAACAGACTGAATTTGATGTGCCCTCGTTATACCCATCCCCATAACGAACCGGACGGGTCTGACATCTCTGCCTTACGCTTCGCTGTGTAGTATCGTACGGTAGATCCCAACGTGAAATGTCTGAGACACTCGCAGCTGCTGTCGGCTCCTTTTTTTTAATTGTGGCTGAAGGAGGCTGGGGTTGGGTCCTGTGTGTTTCCCAGCCCTTCCAGCGATGGACCGAGGTGGGTATCGGAGAGTGAGATGTAACAGGTCTGGTTCCCCTCCGCTGTCATCTTCTGGTGGCCTCAAAGCATCCCTGAGGAGAACTTAGAGGTGCTTTTGAGGCACGTTGGTCTTCGCTGACACACATCTTCTGTACAGAGTTGCACCAATAAGCCTTCTGTTGCTGCAGTGTCTTGCACTTTACCAAATACAATCAGGACTTTGCACGAGACTCTTGGTTGGGGTGGCACGGGGTCGGGATGGAGACGTTGGCACCATCAAGGTGGGTTCTCGAGGCCGGTTGCAGGGTGGAGTTTGCTGCCCCTGAAAATATTTGTACATCCACAGCTTTGCAAGGGGGAACGTCGTTGTTTCTGGGGTTCTGTTCATTGTGTCCACTGGTCCCACTAAACGCACAACTCATTTATCTTGGGTCAGTCTGGTGGTGTGGGGGAGAGGGGCTGGAACTGGTAACGAGGAAGCAGGCAGTGCTGGAGCAGTGGTCAGGAGCAGGGTTGGACAGACTGGCCACAAATGGGTAAATAAAACACAATTACAGGTAGAACATCACTCCTTGTAGCTCAGGTATTGTGTGAGATGAGAAAAGAGGGTGCAGGTCACACACCTGCTGTGTAAAGTGCATTACAAGTGTGGTTTTCTTCACTTGTGCTTCATGGGGTGACACACCTGGCCTGGGCATCCCAGGTGGCAACTGGGAGATGTCAGAGGGTGAGCTGCTGGCACATTTAACGTGGACTCTTGGTTCTGGGCTTCTGCTGGAGGCTCAGTTTGGGGTTTTGGTGTGGGTCAATGCATCAGCTGCCTCCCCTTAATGGAAAGTGGGGTTGAGGGGGGAAAATTGATGGTGGAGTAGGAAATCAAAGCACTGATCTGCTGCTGTGTCCTGCCCGTGCTCAAACCAGGGCCATGCAGGAGAGCACTTCCTTGACATTATGATTAAAGAGAATAATTGCCAGTTCTTCCTTTCTTCTGAGTGTCTGGATGGGTTCCTTTGAAGGCAGATGGGATTATCTCACAGCCCTTGGGTGAGACATTGAACTCGAGCAGCTTTCTTAGAGTGCGAAGCCATGAGGGTGGCAAATTCAGCAGCAGAAGCTGCCCTGTACCCTCAGAAGGTGCCCAGACCTGGTGTCTGGTGGCCACACTGGGTGTTGCTATCTCTCCCTCAGCACGTGGGAAGGTGTTTCTGAGGGGCATGGGCAGATAAAATGTGCCACCGAGATCCTGTGACCCCAGGATCAACCAGTTCCAGGTCCCACATCCATCCCTCGGCATCTCCAAGCAGGAGGCCAGAGCAGCACTTCCAGAGGTCACAGTAACAGAACGATATGGGGTTGGAAGGGACCTCTGGAGATCATCTCCTCCAACCCCCTGCCAGAGCAGGTCCACCAGAACATGTCGCACAGGAACATGTCTGGGGGGGTTTGAATGTCTCCAGAGAAGGAGACTCCACCACCTCTCTGGGCATCCTGGGAGGGCTTTGAGAAGACAAAAGCCAAATGGGGAAGCAGGAGAGGGACAGAAGGACCTGAAGGGACGGGGTGGACTGCAGCAGAGTGGTGGGGACAGCCTGGCTCCCCACAGCCCCCCCCAGCTGCCAAGGTCTGCTGTGGGGAGAAGACCTCCCTACCCTTCTTTTGGTCCCCTGGTGAGTGGCCCCACATCAGTGCAGAGCCACCAGGCTGGCACCATGACTGGGGGACACCAGTGGGTTGGGGACAATAACCATCCTTCCCCCCGCCCTCCAAGAGCTGGCAGGAGGAGCCACGGCAGCCCTGCATCCCCAACCCCGGGGGAGTGTTTGCTCCTGTGGATTTGCATTTCATTAATAATGAATGAAGGATAATTTGCTGTAATTAGGGCCTGAACCCTGCCAAAGTGGAGGAGGTTCTTTGGGCTAAGCCAATTAACGGTGGTGCAATTGGGGTGTTTAACGAGCCTGGGGAGGCTGAGTGGCTGCCGGGCAGGAGGCAGTGCTGAGGTCACTGAAGGTGGTGGTGGTGGGGGGGGTTAGCAATTACCCTGGGTGACGAAGCGCTGCCCAATTAGTCATCACTGAATTTCACTGAATTTCACTGAATTTTAGAGTTGGAAGGGACCATAGAGATCATTTAGTCCAACTCCCCTGCTAAAGCAGGATTGCCTAGAGCTTGTCAGAGCATGTTACTCAGGAGCATCCAGGGGGGTCTTGAAAATCTCCAGAGAAGGGGACTCCACACCCTCCCTGGGCAGCCTGTTCCAGGGCTCTGTCACCCTCACCGTGAAGAAGTTTCTCCTCATATTTGAGTGGAACCTCTTCTGGTCCAACTTGTGCCCGTTGCCCCTCGTCCTCTCACTGGGAACCACTGAAAAGAGTCTGGCTCCCTCCTCCTTCAACCCTCCCTTGAGACACTTGTAGGCATACATAGGAGTGAGGCCCCGTCCCATGGTCCCCCTGCTCCTGTGAGACACCATCGGCCTCTCCGCGGTGAGACCTTTTGCTCCCTGGTGTCGCCGGCGACCGCTGATGTGTGGAAGGAGCTGGTGGTTGTCTAATTAGACAGCTCGGGCAGATTGATTTGTGGGAGTGGTAGAAGCAATCGATTTGCTCGTTGGGAGCAAAATGCTCCTTGCCATGACTTCTCTCTGCTTTTAGCCCAAAAACAAGCTCTCCAGGCAGCTCATTCTCCTGGCGGAGAACATCAGGAGGACATCAGGGCTGCAGGGTCTCCCCAAACCCACCGGTCCCTTGGCATGGGGGTCTGCCAGGCTACAGCCCCAGCACAGGGAGAGGCTGTGAAAGGCCTTCTCCTCCTCAGGGCTGTGTCGGGACTCAGAGAGTGTCAGGGCTGGGCTGGAGTCAGAGGTGGGGGAATTTGGCAGCCCCTCATTCCCCCCGCCCTGCTGCCCATCTTCTGTCTTGTGCTTCTGCTGGCTGTGAGCCCCACAACCAGGTCTGGGGTTGTGGTAGGCGATAAGGGAGTGCAGGGTTTGGATGGGAATGCTAAAGCTTGTGGTGATTGCCCCCACAAAACAGCATCCTGGCTTCAATCCCCATCCAACCCTGGCCAGGGACGTGGGGGCAGATCAATAGAGGAGGCTGATTCCAGAGGACCAGGCTCCGTGTCTTTCCTGGCTTGGCCAGAGCAGAGAGACCAAAGGTGATTCTGCCACTTTGCTCTGCTCTGGTGAGACCTCACCTGGAGTATTGTGTGCAGGTCTGGAGCCCTCAATATAAGAAGGACATGGACCTGATGGAGAGGGTCCGGAGGAGGGCCACGAGGATGATCAGGGGGATGGAGCACCTCTGCTACGAGGACAGGCTGAGGGAGCTGGGGTTGTTCAGCCTGGAGAAGAGGAGGCTCCGGGGAGACCTAATAGCAGCCTTCCAGTACCTG